ATACTATCTTTTTCCACTGCCACCACACGAGATTTACACACGCACCACTTGTTATTAAACACGCATGAGCCCAGGTGCCTGCGCACACTACTCTTTTGTTAGATATCGCAACAAACATTCCAGAGACATCGTAATACCGACAAAATGAGACAGTATTCAATTCCATGCCATTGTGAGAAACTTTACAAGAAACACTGTGTCAATCGAGTCGTTTTCCATTCGTGAACATTATTATCTACTCTCCTGTGACCGTGTACTGTCTTTGACCTATTCGGGATGACACACATTGCTATCTATTCTTTACAATAGATAGTGATTTTTCTGTATATAATTATATATGCATAATGTTGTTTACGCTGTTGGTTTCTGGCAGCCTTTTTGCAAACGCTTAATTTATGAAAAAGATAGTTTCGTTATTTTCATGAGATGGCCCTATAGTAGATATTTTAATACGTTTTTAGATTTATTTATTTATTCATTCGTTTTCAGGAGAATGCTATTACGATGTAACGAAAATAATTCAATAGAAAAATTAAATAAAGTTACGAATTCTATTCTATTAAATATTAAATTCGTTAAAAGTTGTAAGAAATTCTTCAATTCTTCCATTTCAGTGATACTGAATATATTGAACGTTATATGACTGAATTGAATAAGTTATTGAACACTACATAAATATATTCCTCGTCACAAAACATCATGACAAATTTAAATAATCTACTCAGGTCATCGTACAATGTATAAAAAGGAAAGTAACAGAACTTTTTTATAAATTTACGAGAAATTTGCTGAAAATTAATATATAAATAGTACATTCTATATGATTAATCTGTGATATATTTATCTATCAATTCATTTTGTATTAAACGCTAAACGTAAGTCTAAAAATTAAAAAAAAAAAAAAGAAAAGAAAAGAGACATTCAAACGAAGAAAATCAATATTAGAATTTTCATCTTCTATTTTCTTTTTTATCTGTGATACTTGAACACTCTCATCCCGAAATGGTCGACTATACGATACCTTTGGAAGCCGCGTAGTTTAAAATAAAACACGCTGTTCACACACTATCCGCTGTAATTGTTCTTACTTTAATTTTTTTCCTTCTCTCCGTTCTTTTTAATTTCTTTCTTTTTTTTTCTCTCTCTCTCTCT